GTAAGACCTTTGTAGGTGAAGTAGTTGCAATATCAGTGGAGGGGTTTGTACACAGAATCACAGAAGATGCCGAGTTCGAAGGGACCCACGAGGATCATCGCGCCCAGCTCCTGGCCCTGTACATGAGAACTGTTCAGTTGGACTTGCCAGTGTGGAAGAGATTCCGGAAAACGGGTACCACCAGGAGCAGGGAGGCATTCCCTGTGCTGAACAGCAGAAGAGATGCCTCAGTTAGTGATGGCCGTGGTGCAAGGTGATGGGCGTATATTATGAATTTCCTTTGAATGAGATCAACCCATGATAACCTTCAAATGCAGTTTATGAATGGAAATGGTGGTCCTAGAGCTGTACCTCAGCTGCAGTGTGCCAGAAACCCGGGCTCTGTGACAGCAGCTGCTTCTGACAGGTGTCTGCTGCCGCTCCGCGTTCACTGTGATACCTGCCTGCCTGTGGGCTGCTCCTCAGTTATTGAATCCTTTCCAAATTAGCTCTGTGTGCAGCTTTTCCAGACAGTGGTCACGGAAATGGAACATGGATGTTCCAGCTGCTTTTGCTATAGCTTTAGTTAGTTCATTTCTCAGGTGATTTTGAAGAACTGGCATTCATTTTGCAATTAGTGAAACTCCAGTCTGTGGAATTGTGTCACCGTACTGCTGCCCTGCAAACATCAGGGAAAGCATTGCCTGCTGTTGTGCTCCATGAGTGCAAGGAATCCAGCAGAAGGTTGGCCTTAGGCAGTGGCAGCCAGGCTGGCTGGTGGCTGGCTGGTGGCAGTAAGCTGCTGGGTGGCCCAGCTCAGGTTCTTCTCTGGCCAAGAGGATGTCGTGCAGGGGCCTCACTGAGTAATCTGTGATATCTTGCATTTTTTTCTGCCACCACTTATTATCCCAAGGCTACCACGACATCCCATCCACCTGTCTGTGCTAATCAGCTGCATGTGGAGAAGCCGTGGTGTGTAATTTCACGCTGGGTTTCTCTGCTCAGGATGCCTCTGTTGCTTGGCTTGTAGAGGTACTGGAGAGGGAAATAATGCACTGTTAGAATTGTAGTACTGGGCCATAATTCCTTTGTTTTCCTTTATATTGCAGTTAAAACAGGTGCAGTAAGAGAAACAGGGCCAATATGCAAAAGAAGGAACTCTGAGAAATGGGGTAGCTGCTTGCTTGTTGGTATTCCACAGTGTAGTGAGCCGAATCCCAGAGCGTGTGGAGCCGAACATGGGATATCTGCTGTGAGTGCTGAGCACGTGATTTCACACTTAGGCGGTGCTGCAGGGATGCAGTGATCTGGTGTAGCTTTACAGGGACTTGTAAAGCTGTGTGGAAACAGTGCTTAGGCAGGAATTACTCTGCATCACTTAATGCAGATGCACAAGACCCAGAACTGCCTTCAGGTTGAGACTTGCTCTTGGTTTGTGTGATTAACCCTATTAGGTGTCTGATGTCCTCAGCTTTAAAGGAACCTAGGAATGAAGAGCTGTTTCCAAAGCTGTGGATCCTGTTTTTCAAGGAAACAATCTACATTTCATTTGTTCTGAAGAATCAAAGGAAGATTTCAAGGTTCTCCAGAAGCTGCAAAATAGCAGCTCCTCCTCCATAGGCACCTAATTTGCATACCAGCATTTTCCAGGTTGGAGGGGAAGGCTTGGGAGACCAGCAGACATCAGGAGAAAGCAGAAGGAAGGCTGGGGACAAAGTTATACTGTTCCTGTGAAGCAGAAACAAGATCTGAAGGAACTGACAGCACAACACCTCACCTGCCTACATGAGATCAGTCACACTCAAGTGCTGTCTGAGAACTGTGCTTTGACCTACTGCACCTGACCAGGAAAGGAAATATATTTACAATTTCGAAGGCCACGGTATTTGGCCACTTTGGTATTTACTCTTACCGATGACAACTTATCAGACAGTAGTTTCCCCAGCACAGACACCTGTTGTGCATTTGAAAATGTGGATCAGCTTTTGTGAATAAACTGTCTGGGTGGTTTTATGCTACCTGACACAAAGTATGGCTTCTGCCACACCGACTCACAGGGATTTCCATAATGACAGAGTATGGGTAGAGGAATTCCCCAGCAACTCGGGAAAACAGCGCACTGTGTTTTTCCTGCTGACGAGGGTTACTAACACCACAGGCAATACATGTTGTAGCTGATACTCATTAGAAGGCTTTCTTCAGGAAAGGCACCATCTAGTTGTGGATTGTCCCTCCTTGTAGGTAAGACAGGAGAAGTCTGAGTAACAGCACAGAAAGAGGTATGTGACATTGCCGTGGAAACGAATGTGTTCCATTTTGAAGTGCCCACAGTATTGTCACTGTTAATGTCTGTGTTTCCTTCAGATGTGGGTACATTTCAATAATTAGGATATTAATCTGAGAATTCATAGTAAGTGTATTAACCATAAGCACCAATCTCAAATGGTGGATAGTTCAAAACAGTATGACTATGAAAAAGACAAATTATTTGTGTTTGAGGATATTAAGAGGAACTGCCATGTGAAGTCTTAATTTGTTGTATTTTACATGTTAAAAAAACCGCATTGCAAATTGTTTTCCTTTTCATATATTTTAACGGTATAGCTGGTGGTACCAGTCAGCTGAGTAATTAAAACCCTCCCAGTTGTAATTACCATCTCTCCTCAATGAGGCTTAATCTTCTGTTCTTCAGTTCAGTGAGATATTCGCCGTTAACTTCTGCGAATGCTCTCGTTATGCCCCTGCCATGGGGAGTTCAGACAGCATTTGATTAATTTCTTTTAACCCCCTCTTTCAAATCTAATAAATATTCTTTCCAAAAAAAAAATTCCAATATCCAGTTTCTCAAATTCTCTTCTGATATGTTTTTTTTTTGAGACCTTTTTATTCCCGACAGTTAAGCATCACATAGATTCAAGATGAATACCCTTGCAGCAGGAGCACCTTATCTTGTTTGTTCCAAACCTAGGTGCCAAATTTTCCATCCCTCGATCTCTTATGGCCAGACACACAGTCTGCTCTGTAGTGACTTCAGTGGAATTGAATGTGCTCGTGTCAGTTCTGCTTGCTCAGTTGTCTTGTGTGTGTGCCTTTTGGAAAAACAATGCTTTTAAAAGTGGGGTGTGAGTTACCCACAAAAAATTATTACTAAGCAAGCCAAAAAAACCTCCAAACTAACAAACAAAACACCTCTCACAGTGACACCTGAAAAAAAAACCTTCAGTAGTAACCAGGTTAGTAAAAGGCTCTTTGGACTGACCATCATTAGTAAATAACTGCTCCTTACAGTTTTTTATGTGATTAGTTCCCAGGAAGTTGCACAAAATTGCTTTGCAAGCAGCTTGCAACTCCAGTCAATGGCATTTTGCACAGTATATAAAAATATCAAGTCAGGATTTATTGCTGCATTACATTAATTCCTCATACAAATAGGTTAACTTGAGTGCTTACAAAAATTAATTGGTGCATATTTGCCTCAACACAAGCATTCAAGGTGTGCACTAAATTTGGATAGTCTGGTGTGGCTCATGCTTGGAGCTGATTCAGCTGTAACTCTTTCCTTTCTGTTCAAAGCTGTACTTTCTCCCTTTGCAATTTCAAGTTCCCTTCTGTGATCCCAGGATGTCTGTGCTGAGTGTCGCTGCCGTGGGGAAAGGGCAGCCTGCTGCAGGGAGCTCAGGTGGGCCGGGTGGTGACAGCCTGCCCCAGGAGTGCCAACACTCAGCAGTACCTTGCAGTTCTGGCACTGCACTAACACTTCTGCCTGGGCCTGTCCTGTGCTCTGCGGTACCTGCCCAGTCACACTGCTTTGTGCTCCTCACCAGCTGGGCATTTGGGGGCAGTGGAAGGGGGAAAACCGTTCTGGAAACATTCTTAGCCAAGACCTATTTCTGTTTTCTCTTAGAAGTGAAGAAGAAGGCTGGCTTTATCACTCCGGTGCCGGGAGGGGTAGGACCTATGACTGTTGCAATGCTTCTGAAGAACACACTCCTAGTTGCTAAAAAGCTCATTTACTAGAGGAAATGGTCTACCTTGGAAGAAGAATCTGGGTTGTTCTATTTATTGATACACAAAATGTCTATTTTTTACTACAAATATATTTATTTCTGCATTGTATTTATTTTTTCATGTCAAGTATGCTAAACCTGATGGTTTACAAAATGTTGAAATACTTTGTTTTACCTCCTCCTAGCATATTGTAAGCAAAAATGAGTTGGAGAATGCAGCCTACACAGTTATGTTGTATGTGTTTGAGAATGAAGCATGAATTACAACTCTACACTTGCACTGGTGCAGTTACTAAGGGCTTGTAAGCACTTGGGACCCTCAGGTTTGATCAAATTGTATGAAAACTGAGTTTCAACATACGAGATATCTTTTAAATATATGATTTGAGTTCTGAGGTCACAAAACACTCTGGATGTAGTTCGAAGTCTTGAAATATTGTTTTGTTTTAAACACTTAGAGCTAGCAGCAGAAATCTCAGTTGCAAAAGGAGTGAGAGACTGCAGTGTTTGTGTCAGCTGCCAGGCAGGAATGTTGACGTGAATGCAAATGTTCAGTAAATGTTTTAAAATAGCCAAGTAAACTTGAATGCTGGTGAAATTTTAAACATCTGCAAGAGGTAAGCATGAATAAATAGGTAGAATGGAGGCCTGAATTATTTTATTTTCATATCTGGACAAAATGTTTTGGTGTGTAATCTCCTCATCTCACAAAAAAACCTCCCAAACTGAACAGTTGACTGGGCTGGATTTTACTGAAATTAGGTGAACTGTAGTTGATGTTACTGCATATGTGCAGTATAGTGGGGCAGTGGGTGAAGAGGAAGAGCAAACCAAAACTTTATCTGTGCCAGAATATTTGTGCTGGAATTTAAAGCCATTTAATTATATTCTCTTATTTTCTGGAGCTGCATGACAAGGCTTTTTATTTTTATTCCATGTTGTAAGGCTTGGCTTCAATGGCCACGATGTTTTGCTGCTTAAAGAGGACTATATGGGATAAGATCAGTATGGATGGATCTAGCATAGTCTCATGCAATGTACAAGTTGGAGTGGGGTTAATGCTGAGATGCCTGTTCAGCTGAGCGTGTGCACTGTTGGCATTCCCACTGAAGGCAGTGGGAGCCAGTTGGGACTTTTTATCTTTGTGGTTTTGTCTCAGTTGGGATAACTGTGATTTGTTTTCATCAAGAGCCTTAGATGTTTGCTGGTGGTCTTTAGATAACTTGAAAGAGGAAAGAAAAAATTGTGGCTAAATACTATTGCATTAAACAGAAAAATGCAATTACTGTAATAAAAGAGCCAAGGTGGAGCATCCCTTCCATGCTGACTGTTCTTGTGATGGACTTTCTGAGAGTTTGCCTTAATGCAGTGTTTGCAAAAGTTTGACAGAATTATTACTAAATATACAATGGCAGTAGTGCAGACACTTGTCTATTTAAATTTAAGTGGTAATACCAATGTTAGGAGAGTCAAGGCAGCTATGGAGACTATGCTTCGACTGATAAACCCATGACTGAAAGATGGAATAAAACTTGTTCACTGTTTTGTTAGTCTTGGTGAAAAATGTTGATGGAGTTTTGGGGGTGGTTGTGTTTTTCCCTTGGTTGTGTGTGTGGAGCGCAGTAAATGAAGGCCTTGCATGTTCAGTCGTTGCTGTGTCTGGCTGTTTGCATTACTCTTCTAGATTCGTGTTTGCTTTTGTTGATTTAAGCCTGATTGTCTCTGCATGTTTTGGCAGAATAACCATTTTTGGCGCTGTGCTCCTGTCCCTTGAGCGAGCCTGCTTCTGTCATGCCCTTCAAACACATTGTTGTGCATCGTAAGCTGTTTCCCTTTTCTCAGCTAGTGAGACCCTGGCTTTGCTCCACAATGTGCTGTCCTCAGAGCTGCCAGACCCACCTGTGAGAGTACTCTCCACTGGGAGAACACCCAGAAGGAGCATCCAGAGGGAAGGGCCCATGAACCAACCCAAAAAGCATGCTGGTGTGCCCGACCTGGTCAAGCCCGGTCCAAGTATGAACACTGTGTGTTGGACAGAGCGCGGCCTTGCCCACTACAGCTTGGTCCCAGGCCTACCACACCCAGTGTGTTGCCTCATGACAAAGCCTCCTGTTGGATTCAGGCTGGATTAAACTCCCATTGTGCAGCTGTGTGTTGAAAGCAGGGCTCATGAGCCTTATCCCTGCTTGGGACTGATAGCAGAGGTTGTCCAGGTAGGCATAAACACCCCTGTCTGTCTGGGAAGTGTGCAGGGCACTTGATCAGCGTGCAGGCATGCAGCAATTCAGGATAGCAAAGGAAGGGAATAGCCTCCTGGAATGCAGTCCATGAGCAGGAAAACGCATAATTAAAATGTGCATAACTAGCTTGTGTTTTTCCCTTAACATGTGAAGTGGTTAGATGTAATCCTGCAGATCACTGGGGAGAGAGCAGTGGAGAGGGAGAACTGGAGCTGACCAGTTATTAGGGCATCTATTAGAAGCTTTTTGGTTTTAAAATATAAAAATTGTGAAATGTTGTTATTGCTTGGGGCTCACAGTTGAGAAAGGAACTTGCTGGAGTGAAGGGTGTAGCTCCTCTTTGGTGAGAGTCAGGTTGTTGATGTCCATGTATGTTATTGAACTGGGCTTTTCCAATAATCTGCTCCAGTATCCTTCGGAGACCAGTCCTAGTCATTCCAGGCTGCCTGCCTCCAAGGAAGTTAGACGGTGTTTGGGGCTGTGGAGAGTGGTTTAGTATAAGAAATGTGTTTGACAAGTATGTGCTAGAGACCTCCAAGCACATGGTGTAAAAAGTGCAGTTGTTCTCATTATGCACAGTCACTTGATGGAGAGGCAGAGATAGGCTTTTCTGGCAGTAGTGAAGGGATCTCCTGATACAGGAGGCAACAGCTTACCTGCTCTTTCAGTCTGTGTTTCCTCAATGCCTGTGCTTTGCCAGCTCTGGACTTCTGCCCCACAGCTCCAGCCAGCAATCCAGGCCTTGTGGATACCAGTGGGCTGCCTTGCTTCCTAGAGCTGTGCATGGCCAGGCTGAATGGAAAGGGATTAGCACACCCCTCAGGCTTGCAGAGTCTGGGATCAAAGGCCTCTTGCTGGCAGTCACTGATGGAGAATATCATCCATTATCTTTGTGTCTGATCACTTCCTAATCTCAGCACTAGCTGTTTGAACAGTTCCTCTTCAGGATGGTGGGGACTGAGGGACAGGGAGGACCAGGGGAGGAACACTAGCAGAGCAGGGGCTGATCCCTGGACCCTGACCTCCAGAGTAGTATCCTGAGGCTGAATATCCTCCTGGAAGTAACACAACACCCACATTGCGAAGGGAAGGAAACGCCACGTTTCCACAACATGTAAATTTTCATTTTGCTCACCTCTGTTTTGCTGGTTTTTGTTCCTCTGCTCTGTCAGATTCTGGGTCTCACTCTAAAACTGTACCTTTGCCTGCGCAATTGTGCCCACAGGTAATAGGAAACCAGGGTTTCAAAAGAAAACCTGATCCCATTGCTAGATAATAGCAGTTTCCTAAATAAATGTGTGGTTGCCCGGGGGGGTGAGGTTGTTGCCAGATGCACCTTTTCTTGATTGGTGAGAACAAGAGATGACGCTTCCTGGCGTATAAGTGCAAGAGAAAACACGGGAGCACAGATAAGCACAGCAGGCGAGCCACCTGGAAAGAAGAGCTGAGAAGGTGTCAAAGCAGCTGCCTGCCATGGCATTTGGAATGCTAATCTATATTTTGCTGAAAGGTAGGTTTGGAGGAAGCTTTTCCATGTCGTAAGATCCAGGGCTTTGTTGAACAATAGTTGGCCTCTTCTGAAATAAGCAGTGGGGTGGGAAGTGTGCAGAGACATTGCGAAGCAGAACCACTTCAGTTTGAAACCCAGATGAAATTTTAACTGGTAGGGTATAATTTAGAATTCTTTGAAAAGAATCTGCTTAGACTGGTGAAGAGATGTAAGGCTGTAGTATGTTACACATACCTGTGTCGTAAAATTGTGTAAGATAATAGAGTGGAGAACAGGATGGATTTGTATTTGGGAAATTTGCAAAGCCATATGTTTGTTTTCTCACAATCATAATTATGCCGTGGCAAAAGGAAGTTTGAGGCAAAAATGTTTTAAGTGAATTGTTATTATATTGCTGCCTTGTATGGGGGTTGTATGAAGTGCATGTTGTATGAAGTGCTTTCTAGGTGAAATGAACCTTGAATAGATATACTGAGCTTTTCTGTTCCAGTAAGCATCTATTTGCATTACACAGCAACGGGGGCACTGAGTGAAGAGTCAGCTATTACTGCTTCATCCCTCAGCACAGACTTATGGAATAATTGGACAAAAAACAACGCTGAAGGTATTGCTTTTTTGTTCTGTTTGCTAATCTGTCAATTAGAAAAAAACCCAAACAAAAAACTCCACCAAAATCTATGGTGTTAGCTGCTGTGGTGCTCCTGTCACTTGGACACTGTTGGATTTGTGTGTTTTATTTGTGAGATGAGCTGCTTTCTTCATGGAGCCTTCGAAACCTCTCCGTACTCAGAGCTGCCACCCAGCTGGGATAGGCTCGGTGATGACCAGCTGAAGGATCATTTAACCCAAGTCAGCTATAATTTGACGAAGACAGGGCTAATTAGGATAGATGACCTGCATTTCTAATGGCAATTTCTGTTACTTTTACCTGGTGCCTGGTTTCCATCTGTCTTCAGTGTGCACCTTGGTGTGCAGAAGTGAGAATGAATAAGCACAACTTCAAGTGATACCTCTCATGACTGTTACTCAGTGGTTTCTTTCTTTGTTGCAGTTTTGCTTTTGGCTGTCGTGGCTTCCACAGCCCTCCTCAGAGTGCTGGCTCTCTTCCTTGTTCCTTTCTTTTTTCTGACTGAAATGTGAACTCAAGCTCTTTGCCTGCCAACATGTGAGAGCAGAGCACTGTTTATCCTGCCAGCTGCATTCTTGATGTTACTTGAGGTGCTGGTGATGTCAGTGCTTTGGGAGAGCTCTGCCATCTGGGTCTGAGGTTTTGGCAGGTCAGTAAAGGAGGAAAGGGTTCTAACTGTGATACTTATTAATGTCTTTGCACTTTAGAAAGCCCATAAATATGCACACAAACCATCTGCTGTTAATTCTAAGTCCTCTCAGGATGTCTTCCAAGCTTTTCTAGTAGATCCATAAGATTTTTATTTTTCTTAGAACAAGTCAAGCTGCTTTGTTATTGTTTCTGGTCTGTCCTAGTGGTACAGTGTTATATATATACATTCAGCCATACACATACTGTATATGTGGGTTTCATATATATGTATGTAAAACATGTATGCACACACATATGCATGTGAAGTCAAGAAGATGTTGATTTTTGACTGCAGTACTTTGGTTCAGCAGCTCAAGCACTGTGGTCTGGTTTAGTGTGTCTGTGTGTGACACAGTTCTCACAGAGCTGCATACAGCAAACAGGAGGATAATGAAGTGGAAATATGTTGTGGCTCATTAAGTGTCCTGTTTGTGTTGTTTCTAGAAAGCAGCAGTGATGGGTCATGTTTTAACAGAGAGGAGACTTATTTACAGGGTCACAGCCGTGTCTGTAGTTGTCCTGTGAATCTTTATGACAGCTGGGGCCGTGGTAGTCAACAGGATACCAGCATTTCCCTTAGAGAGTGTTCCACTCAGAGGTAGAAACAAGTTCAAAAACATTCAAGCGCACGTTTATATGGAGAGTTAAAAGTGTATTCCGGTGGGCCTTTTACAAAGCCACTGAAAAGTTAGAAAACAGCATTTCCAGAAGGAAGCTCAAAAAGAAATGCCACCAGAAAAACTGGCTGAATCTCTCTGAAAGTTTCCTGGTAGCTCCTATTCCTGTGCAGTGTAAGTTTATAGTAAGATTTACAACTGGGGTTCATAATAGTGGATTCTAAAAAAATGAATTTCTTGTTCAGTATCCACTGGAGGAACTGGCAGTTTCTTGTGGGATTCAAGTCCTCAGGAGACTGAGGTGCAGTCTGTGGAAAATCACTAATTTCTGCTCAATCCCTTTGCCTCCTATTTACAAGATCATGTCCTTTTTCCTTATTTATGTTACATAGGCTTTACTTGTCACCAGCGCTGGGGGTAGGGAATGTTAGGCTCAGTGATCAGCTGTGGGAGGAAGGGTCATGGAGAGGAGGTGGGAGGAATGGCACGGCAGGAGTACAGAACTTCTGACACGGTTGGGGCTGAAACAGAGCCTTCACAGCAAAATGGACAGCCAGGAGTAGGGAAGGGCTTGGTTTCACTGGGGAAAAAATGGGATCCCTTCGTTGCTGTCAGCTGGTTTTTCTGTGCAGCCTGTAAAGGAGGCTCTGAACCTGTGGCTGACCCCTTCCCTCCCTCCCTCCCCTTTTGGACTCTCCCGTTCCTCCCCGGTGCACCATTTTTGAAGGCTGAGCTGTCCTGGGCTTACTGGCTGACTCTTTGTTGCCAGTCTGTCAGTTTTGGCAAGCCCAGGCTTCCAAGTGCCTGTAGCCTGGATTTCGTGTCAGCTCTTGCCAGCTGTATCTGTTTGAATGACTCAGTTGCAGGCAGCTGTCAAGTGCTTACACTGCATGTTTCGCTCTCCTCACGTGACATGAAAGGGCACATGGACATGTTTATTCCACAGCTTGTTTAGTATTTAGGTGGACAGTATGATAGGAATTAACATAATGCTCTGGGGTAGGTTAGAAAAGCGTTCTTTTTTGTTTTCAAGACTCATTCTTTCAGAGGTCAGTTGTACTTTTGCAATGCCAAAATAATTAGCACACGCAGTTTTTGTGTGTAGACTTAATATCTGATCCTGCAAACCCACAACAGACCAAGCTCTTCCTCCTGACAGCGACGGAGGAATGTGTTGGTTTGTCTCATGCTTTCTAGGCAGGCTGCTGTTCCAGGCTGACCTGGGATTCTAATAACAGCAGCACTCAGGGAAGAGGATCGCGGGCATGCACGAAGCAAGGTTTCCTGCAGGCCTTGGTAGTAGGAGGCTGCCACCTCTCGGCAGTGCTGGTGTGAGTGAGGAGGGATTCAGGATGTGGGAACCCAGGCGGTGGAAGTGGGAGGTGGCTGGCGATTTCATGCCTCTGCAGTGTGGATTTGTACCTTCCACATGTTTCTTTTGTTTGGTTTTTTTTTTTTCCTTTATGACAGAGATAGAAGTGAAATATTAAACCTGTGCAATAGACATCATCTCAGGGCCTAGCAGAAGAGTAGTACTTTGGGTGGCAGGAACTGCAGGTTAAAGGCTGAATTTGATGGGTTATTTTTAGTGATTTCCTACTGCACTTTGTGCTTAAATGGATATTCAAAACAGTTGGTGCCCAAGTGTTTGAGGTGAGTCCTGGGGAAAACGTAAATGTGCCACTGCCTATTTTCTGAAACTCTTCCCTGCAGAGCTTTGGTCTGCAGGTACATTAGACCTAACTGAAAATGGGATTTTGCAGATCCCCTGCATCCTGCATCTCCTTGGCAAGCCCAACTCTGCAGCTGTGTTGACCATGTGCCTTGTCTTCCTTCGTGCTTTCCCCATCAGAGAGCAGTGTACAGTCCTCCCATGCACAGTAGTGTCACCCATCTCTTGTCACAAGATCTGTCTTTTCTTCCTGACACCTGTCCTCTCTTAACTTCTTCCTGAAGTCTGTCCCTTCAAGGCCTGTCCTGTGCTGACTGTGCCCTGAGCCTGTCCTTGGAGGTTGTCAGCAACATTCTGGGAGCCAGCCAGAAAAGAGTCAGACCTGAATTCTGGGGTCAGACCAACTTGTTCCCTTTCATTGTGTTTCTAGGGTCCACAGTGTGAAGAGAAACTTGTGATTTTTTTTCTCCTTGCAAAAATGGGTAAGATGCCCTTTTCTCAGCCCTTAGAAGTTAGTTTTAGAACAAGATGTGTTTCTTCCACCCCTGTAGCTTTTCCTGAGGAAGTGTAGTAAACCAACATGGCATTTTTCAATCAGATTTGAATTGTTACTTGTTCTCCTTGAGTCCTCTTGCTAAGCTGGAAGTCTGATGACTCTATCAGGTTTGAGAGGGCACTGTTCTCAAAGTAGTTGTGTTTGATCTGAGTATCAGTGATAGCATCATGCCTTTTGCGTGTCCAAACCACATCATTCACAGCTGAAGTTGTGAATTGCTTCAGCTAGAGCAGCTGTCTGCATTGCCTGTGATCTCTGTGATAAAGCTGCAGATGGAGAAAGAAAAAATCAGCTTAGTAGAGCACACAGGGGAGATTTCTGCCATTAAATGTCTCAAACTGGAATATGATGTGGAATTTAGGGGGTCAGTGGCGTTACTCCTGAAAGATATGTAGTGGGGTCCGTGAATTGCCCACAGGATTGCTTGAGGCTTCTGTCCATGGCAGTGGTTCTGTGTAGTATCTCCAGACCTTGATTCAGCACTTAGTCAGAAAGGAAGGGTTCTGCTTGCTGTACCATTGTTGTGTCACTCCGAGCAGACCTTGTCACCTTCCTGCATGATGTTATTTTTCTTGTGGTCATAACTGAAAGCTGGTGTTGACATGCACTTGGTTAGGAAATCACCTTCAGCCACCACTAAAGCAGTCCCCTGAAATAGTAAGGCATTGCTGGGACACCCCACCCCACCAGTGATTCCTGTAACTGAGTAGAGGGACCAGTTGGAACAGATGCTTGCAGTGATGGTGAAGCTTTGGAGCTTTCCCTCCACCTGCCGCACCCCTGCTCCCGTGGCTTCTTTATTCCCATTTGAACCACCATGGCTGAGAAAAAGGTAGCATTTTCTGTGCAGGAAGTGTACCTGCTGACCTGGAATTTTGTATGAGTTCAGAAGCTAGGTTGCCATGGACTGAGCTTTTTGCACAGCAAGATCATCCAGGCAGTCTTGGGGGCTTACTAGTGTCATTGGACACTCTGCTAACATTAGAACGTGGAGGAAGGAGGGAGCAGTCCCACCATTCATCCTCCCTCATGGCTGCAGAGCTGGCAGGCAGGAGTGCTAGAAGTGCAATAGTTTGTCTTGTGAGCAGGAAAAGAAAAAATGAATTAACTATTAATTTGAATTCAAACTGGGAAGGATACAGAGAATAATGCAGTGCTCTTCATGTGTCCTAAACTCCTGCTATTCCTGGGATGATTTTCCTAATTGGATTGCAGGTTGGATAATGCGGATGTTACCCTGGATGAATCTCCCATTATCATTTTTGTACACATTTGTCAAGAGCAAGCAACTGATTTACAGTTTGTGCTGTCTCAAAGCCGTGCTGGAACGTCTCAGCAGCTTGTTCTGTTTTGCACTGATTGAATCTGCTCTCCAGACAGAGCACAGTAAAGTCGATGTATTAAGTGTTTGCTGCACACAATGGCTGTTCTGCTTCAGTTGTGAAAGTATATTCAAGTCACTTTTTTTGTGCTAAACTTAACATGACTTTATTCTGTTTCACAGTGGATTACACAGAGCAGCCGAAGCTCTTGAAGCTCATGCAGACCTGCCTTGAGGAACACCACAGCTATTGTATCAACGGGCTCTGTGCCTTCCACAGCGAGCTGAGGAAACCCATATGCAAGTAAAGAATGCTGCTTTTTAGTATCATTCTCCTAAAATAGCACTGCCATTGTTTCTATCTGCCACATGGTACTAATGCAACTTTTTAGTGCCAGTCAAATACTTGCAAGCTTAAAATATGGCACAGACCCGAGTGCTGTGGTGGCTCGGGACTGCTAAAGAGGCTGTAGTGCTGTCCTAGTGTAAATGGACTAAAGAAGGGAGGGGGGGAATTCACAGCTTTGTGGGTCACTGCCATGGTGCCATTTCAAATCACAGCTGGTAAGTAGTAGGAGGAATAAGTAAATTTTCACAGTTGGCAAGAGGAAGGGGACAGGATCTTCCAAAATGTCGGCTGCAACTCCCTTATTCCACAAGTGCCTACAAACCGATCAGGACCATGATGTCCTTAAAATTCTGTAGGATCCTTACTGGGCAGCTTTGGCCTTGGGAGACATTGCAGCAGGTAAGGATCATCAGAGCACAGTGTTCTTAGTCGACACCCTGCACCATGAGGGGATGTTGAGACTGCATTGCTGCTGTGACTGCAGTACTTGAGCTAGCTTTAAACTAGATAAACTGGGGCAACTAGTAGTGTTGGTGGAGGGAAGAGGTTCTGACTGAGCACCAGGTTCAGCCCATCCTCATTTGGACTTCTGGTTTGTTTAAAACTGATGAAAACTAACATGTGTCTGAAATAGAAAGCATAACAAGTTCTGAATAACTTTTGCATGGTGTGTATTTATTTTGTAGGTGCCTTGCAGGTTATAATGGAGAAAGGTGTGAACATTTAACACTAAATTCATATGCACATGATTCTTACGAGCGCTACATAGCTGTGGGAATTGGTGTAGGAATACTGACCAGTGGAATACTTGCCATCATCTACTGCTACGTAAGAAAGAGGTACGGGAGATCTGGAACCTTCTGATTGCATTAATCTGAATTAATTGATCAATTAATTGAACTATTTGATTGCAAAAATCTGAACTGGAGGGCTCTGGGAGTGTGTTCTTGCCTGTTGCTCATCTGCGGTGTGATCTTACGGGAACTAACACTCTACCTCTGCTTTCCCTTCTGTCAGTGGGTCAACAGTGTGATTGTCTGAAATGCAGGGTTCACCTGGGCTGCCTGAATGAGTTAGGTGATTAGACTTTGGTTCTGTTCAGTGTGCTGTGCTTTTGTCTGATAAAAATCACAGGATGGTGTCCATTTTAGATGCAGGAAATTGAAATCCCCCTACAAAGTCTGCGTGGGCGAGACGGCGCTGTGAAGGTCTGGCACTGGGACACTCACCAGTTTGCCTGCAAAGGAGGGGAAGGTCTGCTGGGAAGGGCCCCCTGCACCACCCGACAGGTGCCCCAGCCTCGAGGAGGAGATGAACTCGAGGGAATGGCAGAGCAGGATGTGAAGGGAACTCCTGCAGAACTGACAGGCTCCGTTTAGTGTTGAAGAAAGACCTCCTCTCCTTGGTAAAGGTGGCTCATGCTCAGGTCCAAACAGCTGAGGGCACTGGCAGGCCTCTTGACACTTTCCTGTGGTTGGTGTTTGCCAAGGGGAGGACCTGGTTGGTTTTAGCTGTTTTCAGTCATTTCAAGCCCTAGAACAGTGTTCTGCTTTGGTCTTTTGTGCATTTTGTTTTCGTTTTTTGTTTGTTTTTTCTTCTTTTTTCTCCTGGAGGAAAAGTACCACCTCTCTCACAGTGGAGCTGTGTTCTGGACATCAGGCACTGACCAGAAAACGTTTGGATTCTGATTTTGGTGTCTGCTGGCTGTGTGTGTGGATAAACATCCCTCTTCCAACCCAGCTGTTACCTCCAGTGTAATGGGCCAAGTACAGGCTTCTGCTGCCATAAAGGACAAAACCAAAATGCTTTGGACTGAGGACAATGACTGGTTTGCAAAAACTTTCTTAAACTTAGGAATAGAGACTAAGCAATTCCTGGAAAATTAGATCATGACACCTCTGGGCGTGGCATGCTCTTATTGTTTTCATGAGCAAAGGAACCAGGCATCTTCCTCAAAATGGATTATGGAGTGTGCTTCTGACAAAGAACCTTTCTCATCCCAAACATCATCCAGCAGCTCCTCAGATCCATGGAACTTCAGGCAGAACATTGCCTTGCTGCACCCCGATTTCTGCACAAGACTTCAATTTCTAGAGAAGCTGGAATTTTTCCTAAAACTTCAGTACACAGGAAACAGACTCTACTCCATTCTCACATTATCAGCACAATGTGACCACTCAAATAAGAAAAAAATTATCTTGGGGATTTGGTTCTACCCTGGACAAACAGACTACATATCGGATGCTTGGCTCTCTTCATCTCATTTACAAAGAATTGCAAAGGTACAAAGATTTTGTTCAAAGAAAAGAGAAGAAAATTGATTCTGAAGATGGTGGCACTAACTGGGACTTCTCAGTGACAGCTGGAGTGTTTGCCAGTGCTGACAAGACTGGAGATGGCTCTCAGAGGTTTTCATTTCAACTGTTGTACGTTGTAGACTCACCTGCTGTGCTCAGTCATCTTCCAGAGAAAGGCAGTTGGTACTTCGAGATTTTGTGGGGTAATATCAGCTCCTAAATTCAGGTGGCTTGCTGAAAGCGCAGTTTCTTTGTTATGTGAATTAGTTTTCACAGCAGGAGGCATGTTGCTTGTTGAAAAAACTGTGTATTTGTGAGACTATGGTGACAATTCTGATATGTGAATGAAAGGTGGAGTTTGAAAGGGTTAAAAGTGCCTGTGGCACTCGAGTGGTCTGGAGTTCAGGGGGATTCTTACATGGGGGTCCTGGTCAGTAGCTGAGCCATTTTGGCTCTCCGTGTAATACCAACAAATAAACCAGCACATCACACACTGTTTGGAATCCCACATATCAGAGGGAACAAGCGGCGCGTGCCTGGATTGAGACCAGTCCTTTCCTCTGCACATCAGCATCAGCATTTTCCAACTCAGCCTTTTCATCTTCTTCATCTCAAGTTAAATCCTCAAATCTCTGCATTGTTTGCTCCTTTCCATTCTTCTGACCTTTTATAAATGTCCACTACCAGGCAACTTGTGCTCTTCACGATTTTCAACTGAGCTTTCAGTAGTGGCCCCAACGTTTTCTGTGTCACATATGTGTAGTGAGAGGGCAACGATATGTGAATGACAGTCTGTGCATCCACACCAAGGCACAGACAAAAACCACCCTTCACCCCTCTCACGTGGAAATACCTATTGAAAACATGCATGCTGTCAGGAAAACACAGGTGAGAGATCTTTATTATCGATCTCAGAGAAAATTTTAGAGCTAAGTATCCAAAGGATGAAAAATGCCTCAGGGTTTTTGTCCTGAGTGAATCTTCCTCTCAACAGTGAGTGATCTCTTTCTGTGTGCACACTGCCAGTGTTGGATTCACCCCCCGGGGACCAACCCTCCTCCATCAAAGAGGCTCTGTCTTGGAGCAGGCACACACCTTCCTCAGGGGGTATGTGCAGTTGTTAAAGAAGTTCTAAGGGCAGGAGTTTGAGCAGCTGGACTTTGCCTTGCCTAAAGAAAGCTGTTGGAGAGAGATGGATTTGGTTTGGTTTTAGCTGTTTGTATGTCCTCTTACTGATGTTTTTTATACCCTTAATGTACCAGTGGCCAAGCAGAGGATATGGGAGTTGTTCTTCTGAAGTATTTACTCATTGCAGTGAGACATTCTGTACCTATAGAAAACACAGGCTAAATTTTTTTTCATGTTTAGTTAAACGTAACTGAAAAGGAAGGTTTACTTCAAGGCCACAATTTATTGGGAGACTACATAGTGAAATATGTTTTTCCAGTTGGCTTTCTGGCCCAAGGCAGCTTTGGAGGGGCTGCCAGTGTGAGTTTGCTGAGATTTTTTTGTTAGTGGAAGAAAAGCTGGAGAATGAAACACCAGATGAGTCTGTGCCACACAAAATGAAACTTTGTGTCAGGGTAGAATAAGAATAAAATGGAAAGACAAAGATGAGAAGAAGGAAGGAAGGAAGGAAGCAAGCAGAGGTCTTTGCTGTATTTTAGTGTTCTTTGTCCAAATAGTGTCAAGGCTTCCAGAATTGGGTTCCTCACCACCTGGGTGCTGTGTGCCCTTCACCCTGAAGCACAGGCTCAGAGCAGGCCCAGGCTGTGTTTGAGGCATCCCTGCCTGCCTGACTCACTGTGCAGTTTGGTGCAGTGCCCTGGCTGAGGAAGCCTGCCCTGCCTCAGATCACTGCGTGGAGTCAGCCCTGCTGAGCCCTGCCTTGATCAGTGACAGATGCTGCCAGCCTGGTATGGTGTGTTGCTGCTTACGGTGCTGAATTTCCTGCAGAACTGGCCTGTCAGAGGATCAGGATCATCTTTCCTGGCTCATTTATCAGGCTCAGAGTCCTTCTGTAATGGCATAATTAACAGAGTTGTAAACTTCTCCTTCCCATTCTAGCTGCACGTGCCAAAAACTGTCATTTCAAGAGGAGCCCCTGCGTTTGTGTGGCTTTTAGGCTGGCCTGCCTCAGCTGTGAGGGGCACCAGCTCCGCAGGGCCGAGCCAGAGACAGCAAAGACCGGGATCAGCCTTTCCAAAGGACAGAACACTTGCCCTGTGCATGATCCTGGCTGGTGGAACCATACTGGCTTTTCCTGCAGCGCATCTCAAGCTGAGTTGCCCTTAAGCCACCCAGCCCTCAACCTGCTTCACTGGCATCTGCAGCCGCTGTGCAGGTGTGCTGGGCTGTGACTTGAACACCTCCCTCAATTCAACACCCACTTCCTGCTCTGGCGTGTGGGTGGCCTGCAGCCAGCAAGGGCTGTTTCAAACAGGGAGGTGCAAGCCTGGGGAAAAAAGGGCTGTGCTTTCCAAACAGTCCTTCCTGCCAGGGCACACTGTGGTGAACAGCGGTGCCGTGATCGCTCTCGGAGCTGCACTGGCACAGGAGCACCTGGGCCAAGAGCCAGCCAGCCACTGCAGACAGTGCCAGAGGCTCCTGGAGAAGGTTTTGGAGCTCTAGTGGCAAGCAGGTAGGTAGGAAACAGTTTTCCCTTGGAGAAGATTTTGCCTTTTTCTTAGTAACCCCGAGTATGTTTTGATAGTGACACAGCAGGGTTTCTGTTCCATCCCACTTACAGTAAAAGTACAAATCCAGTTTGCACTGCTGCAGCCAGCACAAGGCTGCCTGTCATGTGGTCTAAGTCCTGCCCTGTGTACTAAGAACTACCTGTGAAACTGGTTACTTGCTAGTGACTCTCAACTTCATGCAAAAAAAAAACCCAAACCAAAAATCAAACAGAACAAAATCAATCCCCCAAAAAATCATATGGCTCTCAGCAAAGTTTTAGAGCTGTGTAATTCTTTACACTCATTAGATGTTTTGTTTAATTTCTGGTCCGTGAAATACACTGTAGCTTTCAAAGCATCCCACAAGGAGAAGGTTATTTTGGCAAAATAATTGATATAATTAAGTTCAGAAAGCTCCTGTGACCCCTGAAGTTCTCAGTCCATAATGGATTTGTCTTTAGAGCATCCCCAGGAAGCAAAGCAGTGCTGTGGAAATGATGTGCTGTGGAGAACTAAGACAGGGAGGGATTAAAGTCACCTGAAGGAGAGGCATCAAACTTTTCCAACCTTTTCAATAACTCTTCCGTGAGTTCTTTTAAGAACTCCAGTGGTGCTCTAGTAGGTCAGTAACACAGCAGCAGTGTTGAGAGGGGAAAGACGGGTCAGATTTGGTAAAGTGCAAGTTTCATGACGGACAGCAAGGTGGCATCCGCAGTGACTTGTGGCTGCTCATACCTGTCCTGAGCCTTGCTCTGAGCAGGGAAGCGCCTGTAGAGGTCCCTGTTGTACTGCAAATCCAGGAAACCAGACGGGTCTCCTCCTTTACGACCCAGTTAACAAACAAACAAACAAAAAAGTGCAGGTACTCATTAAAAGCTCGGTGTGAGTAGTCATTAATTATCATGACAGCAATAAAATCTTGTGTGGGACTCGACGTGGGGCTGCTCCTACTCTCGCTGAATTGACTGGGAGCGAGAGCAAGTTCTGTGAGCAGCAGATGGAGGTGAGCACAGCCAACACCGCTGGGGTGTGCATGAGAGGGAAATGGGCACGGGGCTGCTGCTGGGAGCACTGGCACTCCTGCCCCCTTGGCCTCTTGGCTGCACAGCTGGGAAGAGCTCGCTGTCCTGTGGCTTCGGGATTAGGAGTTGAGGCACAGGCTGGTTTTGGCTGAGAGCAGGGTTTGACTTGCTGTGTAAGGCCAGGGCCTGTGTGGGCAAGCCCACCTCTGAATGAGAGGTTGTTCAATTCAAATTAAACTTCTCATTTCATTTTTATAAATATCAACATAAAATTTGTCTGCGACACACAATTTCACAAATTAGGATTAAAACTGTTTTAAATGCTTATTCTCTGGAGCAGTTTGGGATGAGCTGAACTTGGGAATCGAGGCATGCCTTACATAGCACTTTGGAGGGCATTTTGCACTTGAGAGTTTGCTGGGGTTTTCCCCTGTTGTGGAATTAGGGCCACCTGTAAAATGGAGCTTAGCTCTGAGCTCAGTTTTCTAACTTGTAAAAAGGTCAGAGGTATCCAAAGGCCAGGTTTTGACGTTGTCCATGCCTGACATTGAGTAATTTAAAAGCTAATTTTTAATGAAAACCTCATGTTGAATTTATCTGGTGATATTGGCGAGCAGGTTTCCTCGTAGAAATTCCCTAGTGGCATTTTGTTTTAACAATGTTTTGTCCTTTAATAAGCAAAAATGCTGTTTGCTGTACTTCAAATTCCTGATACTCAAATTGAAGCTGTGTTTCCTGGCCGGGACTGACCAAAATGCAGCATTGACTCTGCTGATGAGAGTCAGGCTGTTACTGAGTACAAATTGATGTGCTGTTACCTTCAGCTTCCCAAGCCGAGGGGCCACACTGAGATCCAGGGATGGGAGTGTTGGAGCTTTGTCACTCCTTGAAATCTGTAACACTCTTTGCTTTTTTTAATCGTTGTTCAGGTTTTTTTGGCTGGGGGCACAGGGAATGTGGGAACCCTTCCTCTGTCCTCCGTGTCCAGTGCTGTGGTGCAGAGATGCCCCTCCACAGCCCCCTCTGGCAGAGAGCACAGCCAGGGCTGTGGAGAGGACAGGGCCAAGCTTTGCAAGAACATCTGACTAACCGAGGCAAAGGTGACTTGTTTGACATCATTTCGGTGCGTCAGGCTGGGTCTGTTTGTGTGCCATTGTTGTGGCAAATCCCATGATGAACAGTGTGCTATTGACTCCTGCCGGCCGTTCATGGAGCGCGGCAGCGGATTTGGCCGTGAGCGCTGTTCCAGGAAGTGTCTTAAGAGATGCCAAGGCCAAATTTAAAGGCTGTGGGGCAACAGCTGGGCCTCTCAGGGAGCTGGGGCAGCTTTATGTCATAGGGAGGATAAGGAGCTTCCCTTGGGTGCATCCCTGCTCTGCGGGCCCCACAGCCCAGCAGCCACCTCCGGGTGGAGGTAGCAGGGCAGGGTGAGTCAGTGAGACGAGGGGACCCCGAGTTACAGGCTGTCCCAGAACATGCACAATTTGGCTGAGAGTTCTGTGTCTGTTCCCTTCATTTCAAGGCTGTGACATCCCATGTTCATGGGCGTTTCTTGGAGGGATGCTGTTTTGGAGGGGAAACTCAAGGAGGGCCCCCAAGTGGCCTTGTCTGTGTCTGTGGGTTTGGAGACTCTCAGCATCTCAAGTGTTGGGTTGTTGAGTACAAATCTTTGTAGCTCTGGCATGACATT